AAGAGGATGGGGCTTTTTTTGGACACCCTTGGGGTTGCTGGCCGGGGGTTCCCGGGTGACGGCAATTACTTGGACCAATTACAATCGGGTAGCCCCAATGTTGGTGTTGTTGTTGTTGTTGTCCTCATTTTGGTTTTCAAGGGGTTGTGGGGGGAAGGGACCCAGGGGACAAGGCGGGGACAGCGGGAGCCCCAAAGAGATCAAACAAAACATGGGGGGGGGGAGTGGTAACGGAGATTCCAAAAAAGCAGGGGGAGGTGAGGATCACGGCCCCCTTAAAGGGCCCCCCCCCCCCCCCGCCCCCGCAGGTGCGAGATCGCCAACGCGCATCCTGACAAGAACGCCAATGCGTTTCCACCTGGTCATGCCATCCGGTGTGAGTGTGGGTGGAATGGTCCAGCAAGGCGGGCTAGACCCGTCACAGCATTGGGAACGCTCACAAGAGGACGAGGTCGACCGAGACTCGCGCCAAAAGCAGTCACACAAAGGTGCTCCCATCAAAGCAATGTGGGGCGTGCTGTCGCGAGAAGACAAGACACAAAAGAAAAAAAAAAAAAATCGGGGTTGTGGCGCTACCATCTCCGTCCAAGCAGCGAAAACGGCAGAGACAAAAAACCGCCAGAGACCCAAGAAACCTTCCGACAGTCGGGATTCGCCTGACTCCGCCTCAGCAAGGTATGCCAGCGCTCAGAACCCTAACGTCCTGTTTACTCTCAACAACGAAGGATGTTATCGACCCGGCGTGTTCCTTCTTGCCTTGCATCGCCTTTCGAGGCATGCGCGTTCAGCTCGTACATATGGCTTGCTTCATCTCACCAACGACCTGCTTACTCTCAACAAGGAAGGAAACGATCTCCCAGCGCTTTCTTGCATGCACCTTTCGAGGCATGCGCGTGTTGAGCTCGTACATGGCTTGCTTCATTGCGCCACTCCCCGGCTTCGGTTCCGCAACCACCAGCAGGGGCTTCGTGCCCTGGAAAAGACCAAAGTTTACCTGAAAACCCCCGGCACAACAGAAAAAAAAACACACACACACACAGGCAAGAGAGAATCAACGATGATAATCCGTCGCATAGCTTATTGCCAATTTATCACGTTCAGAAGAGATCCGTAGATTGAAGTCACGGCAAGAGACCGAGAGGTGAGGGCACCAAGTGGACGAAATCATCCGGTGTTCCAGGTTCGACTTCGGACACAAAGGTTGCTTTGAACAGACGAGAGGAACTCACATCTATGTTCCCCCAGGAAAACATGGCTGGAAAAAATATAGGGAAATGTGGAAGCAGATAAATGCGGCCTGCACGAGAAAATTTCGCGTTGGTGGAAACCCCTCAACGAATCGTACGGCGACCGCACTCTTAAGGCCGAATTCCTGGTGCACAAAAAGAAATGAATACAAAGAAGGAGAAATCCGACTGCTGCTGCATCATACAGCCTTTTCGACAAATTCGTAAGGTCACCTCAGCCACGCAACACACCCATGTGATCACCACGGCCACGCGCATGCCCCCAAAGCACCCCCCCTCCCTTCCGCATACCCAGCATATCGCTACCACCCGGGTTGCAAGTCCCCACAAAAATCGTTTTTTTTATTTTATTGCGACAAGACATCGATCACGCGGAGCCCCCACAGGCGCCGAAAACCTATGGGAGAGGCCGTTATTCGTCAACAGCTCCGGCTGTAGTGGCGATCCAAAATGTGGCCAACCTTCTATAGCAACCCTATGCATACCTCTACAGCGTGGTGCCATGAAAAATTTGGGCGGGGTCGTTTTTCGAGCGCGTCTGAGCGTTAAAGGTCGAATTGCGGGGGAACTTGCCCCGAGATATCCAACAAATTTGGAGGTAGACGTGTGGGGCGTGTTTAGTCAACATACAGGCGATAGAGTGCTTCACTGGAACAACGGAACGACCCTCGTAGTGGCGATCCAAATTTTTCCCAACCCCTCTCAATGCTACCTATGCCTATGTTATCCACTCTGGCGAAGTTTCGAGCGAGTTCGTCAACTCCTTCGCCCGCGTCCAGCAGCGTGAAGTTTGGTGCTGAGAGCTGCGGAACGGGCTTGAAGTAGCAGCTCTCTCACTTTTGACAGCACGGCATTTGCGGTTCTGAGCGAAACCAGGCCAAACCAAATGTCTGCGCGTGTAGAACACAACATGCTTGAGGTATCTTGCAGGTTTCATGGCACATAGCGATCTGTGTAAGGAGCACCAGCAGTGACAAAGGTGTGCACCAGATGGTGCGCTGGGCAACTCATCATGGGGGCTTACGCGGGGTACTATCGATTTTCGCGGAGCCCCTTTGTCATATTTTTTTTGCTTTTTGTGTGACTTGCAACCCGGGTGCTACGGCTCGACATTACAGGGATGCGGGGTCAACGGTCTAACGACTACGGCACGCGTTTTCGTGAGTACACCCCGTGCTTGCTTGGGGGGTGTTCACAACTGCTACTACTACAGCAGTAATCTGCCTCGTGCGCAACCTCCAACCACTCGCCTTATTGCCGTCCGTGTCAGAGAGCAGGCGCCAAGGGTCCAGTGGCGCGAAATCCCCTCGCGAAAACGCTAGTTCCACCTGCTCCGGGGGGGGGGGAGTGGGGGGGCGTACTCAAGTATTGCATGCCTTAGCGGTTAGACTATTGAATACGTGTCCTCAAGAGGACGGAGCATAGTTCCCACAGCATCGATCACCGATGGCCAATCGTTCCTTCCTACTTTGTCAAAGGCGGCCCAAAAACGATTTCCCTAGCCTATCGATATCACTTCCCAGGGGGGGGACGCAGATTGGAAAATATCGGACCAACGAAGGGATGCACATCACAATGGGCAACGCACGTCTTCGAGAGAACCGGGTGGTGTGGGGATGCTCCTTGATATACACAGAAGGGCTTCTGAGCCAGGCGGCCATCCGCAAGAGGTTCCAATCGCACGGAGTAGTGGTGCGCGGCTTGGCGGTGACAACATGGTGGGATTTTGAGCCTGTACCACCAGGAACACGGTGGAATTTTGAGCGTTGTTCCACAAGGAACGGAACACATCGTCAGAAAGTCGCGAAGAAACACAACCAAGGACAAACAAACATGCGAGCGTAAGCTGCAACCATCAAGCGTCCGTGATGGAACTGACACAATACTGACGCCGTGCAGGTCGCGAGATGGTGTGCACGAGCACCAGAAAAACAAAACACACCTCTCTCCCGGATCCCCTGAGATTAAAAAATAACCTTCGGGCGCCCGAAAAACCAACCCACTTCTCTCCCGCATCCCCAGAAAAAACAAGAAAGACCTTCGAAATACATGAAAAGATGTCCAGCAAAAGCATGCTGCCGCCTGAACCCGCGGGGATATCTATCTCTCACGCCCACCTTCTTCTCTACACGCTTTGCGAGTTTTTTTTCCGCCGCCTTCAGCCCCAGGCTGTTGGACGAGATCCGAGCTCCACCACTGAGCATCGCCTCGAAGTCGCTGTATTCGGTCTGGCAAAAACACGAACAAAAAATCACGGAAAAAAGCAAGAAAAATAATTGGAACCCTTTTTTTGGCAAAAACATAAACCCTAGAAATAAACATGCCGCTCGTTGTCACCGTGCGGTACAAGCTGTGCATCTTTTGTTTCGTAAAAAAAATTGCTGTCAAGAGTTACCTGGGGCAACATTGTGCAGCAGCGCTGTATATCAAGGTGCCGTGTCTCCCATGCCGTGAGGCATCGTACTCCGTTCATGAGCCGCACCCACCAAAATCAGGGGCCACGAGCACCGCCCAAAGAAGGAAGGGTAGGGCAAAAAAATAAAATAAAATAAGCTAAGCGCGCGCATGCACTTCTTCTTATCATACGTCAAACATAGGTATTCACCGAAACGCCTGTGGCTGGGGCCGGAATGGATGACACGAACACCGACGAACACACGCACATGGCCTACGCTGCTGCGCATTCAGACGGTTTAGCAACACCCCGAACCAGACGCCACGGCAAACAATCCCAGCGCGTACTTCTTGCCCAGTAAAAAAATACTCGACAAAAACAAAAATAGACAGACAAGACGTCTAGCACAACAGCCGCAAAAAAGCAGTGCCGCAAAACATACTAGTGCAAATTACAAAGCACCCACGGCAACCCCCATATAGGCAAGCCGTCGGTGGCGCACCTCGGACGCTACCGGAGAACGGTTACCAACCGGCTTCTTGCCGGCAACGACGGCGTCCCACTGCGCCTTGTCTCGCATAGTCTCCCAGTCCGTGTACACAGCGCGAGGGTTTTCGACTTCTGGCGACTTGCGGGATCCTAGGTGAAGGGCGGCGGCGGCGGCGGCGGCGAGGAGGACAAGAGAATATACGGGGTGGCGTGGGGGGTCTGTATACGAGTCAAGAATACTTTGCATAGAACGCAACTTATTGAGGAAGACATGCGAAAATACGGTGGGTCGGGGGGTCTGTACACGAAGTCATGAAGCAAAGTACCCAAGCCGAAACCCATATACCGAGAGTGCCGAACCTTTGTTTTACCATGGGTGCATCACGGGTCTGCGTGGAAAAAGGTGCGAAGGGCGATATCAGCGAGACGTCCCTGTCCTGCCCTGACAAAGTTCGCCGCGTTTTCTGCCCAGTCAGTGAAAACAGAGGAAATACTAGGGCCCTCGATTGCTAGGGGTGTCTCTACTAGCAATAAGAACCGTGCTCTCGCAAGAGATGCAAGGTCAATAGCCATACACACGACTAAGGAAAACAACATGAGAGAACCCCCCCCATTTCGTGAAGACCGGGTTCATGTAGATGCAGAATGTCCGTTTTCGCGAAAAAATGTACATGGCTGAGCTGGGAAAAATACAAGGAAGGCAGAGAGATGTTTGAGGCAAGAATAGCCAGGAGAAGACGGTAGCATGAGTACCCCCCCCCCCCCCCGGGGTTTTGCCATCCGGGTTGGGTTTTCGTCCCTTGGCAGCGATGTTGTAAAACAAGCCGATCACTTTCGTGAGCTCGACAACAATGTTACCGCATTTTTTTTTTGCCGTTATTTTTTTTGCGGTAACCATGAATGGTGGTCGAGTAAGATCATGTTGTGCGGGGTCGAGAAACCCTCACTCCGCGCAAAGGACATAATCGCACATTGTGTTAAACATGGTCAAGCACCCTCGGGGCAGTTACACAGCGCTTACAACTGTCTCTGGAAGTCAAAAGCACAAGAAAATATATCAAGTAATACCCGGCTGTCATCTGTACGCAACGAAGTAAGCACAAGATGCCGAACACCCTTAGCAGGATGCAGCGCACCCTTCATTCGACTCGCCGAATACCGCACGGCGCTTCGCGCTTGGTGATGTGAGAGCCTGGTCCGGTGAGAACACGGCGTGCTCCGTCCCGGCTTTGTAGGGATGCGGGGTAAATGGTCTAACGACTACGGCATGCGCGACTATGAGTACACCCCCCCCCCCCCCCCCCCCCCCCATTTGAACCACTCCCCCTCTG